TCATATATATTTTGGAATAGTTCACAGTATTGTGATCTGGCAGCCCTACTACAAGAGTGTGTGAGAGAAAGCAATCAGCTGACTGGATTTTACGGCAAAATTGAAAACGACGTGGATTTTTACGTCAAAATTTTACGCTATGTCAAAATTCCACGTCATTGAATTTTCATTTACCATTTAGCTCTCATAACATAGATCGAGTCAGCTCACACGTTCTAAGATTTTCCGTCGTTGAGTCCCTGCCCCTTAAAACGTCCGCCGAAAGCAATTCGCGTGGGCGAGTCGTTTTCTTATCGCTTCAGGTGATATTTGGAATAATTTTATTCTTTTTAATACCTCTTTTTATTTTTGTATACAAAATTGGAACATAGAAACGGAATTAATTATTTCTTTCACTATTTTTTCAATCCTGTATTTGGTATATATTAGTTAGACGCTTTTGGATAATACTGTTGACGCGAAATTTAAAAGTTTGGGAATTTTTGATAACTTATTTATTCGAAAATTGACATGAAAGAAATGATGTTGCCGATTTGTCACCACGGCAATAAATCGGTGAGTCGTAGAGCTGTCAAACTATCGACAATACTATCAATAGTATCGATAGTCTGGTCATATGAGATAACTATCGATAGTTTTTGTACTATCGCCACTATCATTTCATTTACTACGTTTATACGTAAGCTATTTGCAAATAAAAATTATTTGCAAGTACCTAACCTACTGTTTATTCGATGGTGAAAAATTCTTTTTTAATATTGCCTGATTATAAAAAGGCAATAATATGACCATCGAAAAGGAAAATTAACCTAAAAATGGCAGCGTCTTGCGCTTATTTGCAAATAGTACCACTAATACAAGAGTGATAGAATAGAAGATTGCGCCAATGAGAGAGGATTTTTGAGCGTTATTTTTGCGTGACGTCATCTTGGTGCTATTGCGAGAGAGAAATGCCAAAACGCATATAAAAATATGTAAACAATGCAGAAAAATGTGCTAATTTTAATATTACTTGGCCCAATTTTGCTGGAATCAATAAATATACAAAGATTGATTAATTAGGAACACGTAGCTATAACTTTGGACATGTAGCCCTTTAGGTAAATACGATTTTTAGCACACGAAAAAATTGATGTATTAACAGTGTTTGCAATTCCATGTAGACCAAAAGGAAGCAAAGTGAATTTTTGGACTCACCGTTGTAAAAAGCCATGCAGAGTGCATATTTATATTTGTGGACAGTAGCCAACCACTATAAACTTCACAGCTGTTGACTCCATAGCTTTTATTTGATGACTTTTGTACCAATTCCGAAAGGATGCATGAGTGTGGCTTTATTGGAAACAAATATTCTATGTAAGAAAACATAATTTAAGCTGAACGTTTAAGTAAGAGAGTAATTTTGTTATTTGACAGTTTTACAGGTTTTATCTGGAACGCAACTATTGGTTCAAAGAGAACAAAACTTGGCAGTATTGTTTCCAGGGCTGCCATCTTGGCCCAAACCCCGCCATTTTTGGCCCTATTTAACTTCAAATGACAATTACTTTTTCAATTTGGCACAAAGTGCCAAAATGGCACTTTTGAAAAATAGTAATGTTTTAATATATTTTTGGTGAAATCCTTTGCGTGTACTTCTTCTCAACTAAATTTTTTATTTTCTATAGTGTATACAACTGGTTTATCTTACTTTGGTACTGGGCTTTTGTTTTAGAAATGTGTTTCTAGTTTTAATGCTAAATGAGAAGAATTTTTGACACTTTTATTAACCGAAATCCAAAAAAGGAGGAGGTTATCAGTTCGTCGCAATATTTTTTATTTATTTATTTATTTATTTTTTTATGTATGTTACCGCATAACTTTGGACCACGTCAACTGATTTCGATAATTCTTTTTGCATCGGAAGGGTAGTGTCTCAGAGGTGGTCCCATACTAATCTGGTTAAGATCCGATCAGCGGATCATGAGATGTATATATTTTTTTATATGAGAGTTGAAGTCGGTTTTTTTCGCTAAAAATTACTTGTTGTTTTATTTGGTATATTTTGGCACTTTTTTATCCTCAGTATGGCACTTCATAGCTAAGTATAGTTGGCAGCCATGATTATTTCATGAACGAACGAATAAAGATCACCCCGGACGGAGTGCGAGAAAAGAGTATTTGTTTGCAGTGACGTAATTTCTTCGCCGCCATGTGAATGAAACGGAATGCCGATTAAAAAATGACGTTATCAACTAATATTTTTTCCTCAAATGCAATTACAAATACACGGTTGCCGTGCTGGGTGATTTGTTTAGTTGGTTCATGGCATTATTTCTAAAAGCGCCATTTTTTATTTTAAGCGTTGAAATAGTAGAGGTTACATTGCCGTCTTAAGAGCGTGTCAGACGTGGCGATGCAGTATATTTCAAAAGACTGTCGAATTGAGAACTTTCAGAAAGCGTTTCATGAGCAGTGGCACCTTGCATGTAAAGTGCCTTTCGAAAGAAAGTTGTTTGTTTCCGAAAGGCGAATTGCAGGGAACGAATTTCTAGTAATATTTCTCGATACTAAAATGCAACCGTGAGCCGCTAAAATAAAAAAATGTATAAAAGCAAGATAACGAAAAATAAACTGATTTAGAAAAACATATGAAACTGGTCGATACTATCGATAGTAACCCTTAAGATAGTTTGACAGCTCTAGTGAGTCGCCAATTTGTTGCCATCGACGATTGTTGCCTATTTCTCATGTTTCGCATGGTGGGGTATATCAGAAAAACATAAATGTATTTCCAAATGGCGGAAAATGTTTTTTTTTTATTATTGGAAAATGCAAAAATATGACCTACCAAATCGTGGATGCTCTATCTTTTGGTCGTATTATCGATTTCCAGATGTACATTTTTTTAACAAGAATTTCAAAGATTTGCTACGATGCGAGCCTTGGTTTTCAGCTTAAAACTTGTTTGTTTTTGTCGATTTTCAGTAAAAATTCTTGAGTTTAAGCTCACTCCGTCAGCGCTAAAGTTGAGTCCGAGCTTAAGCTCACTTTTTATGCATGAGGTCCATTGATTTTTTATAAAAAAAAAAATACTGTGTTCGTTCTAATTTGCTGTTTGATAATTTAAAAATTAGCACGCTAGCAAACATACGTAATATAACACGTTGTCGGAGGCACTTTCCTTTTTCTCCTAAGCATTTTGGCATCGTTTAAGCCTTCATCAAGGGATTTGATGTTTATTATAAACAAAACCTTTCTACCGAAAAATGTTTTGTAGAAAAGAAAATACCATAACTAAAAGCCTGATTATGGCTACTTAAATTAACGGAACTTAGAACTTAAAAAATTAATATGAAACAGATTTCGACGTGGCATTAAGTTCCGTTAAGTTCCGCTGTTCAACTATAAGTAACATCCATTTAAGAGAATTTTTAAGTGAGAGCCTGACAATTACATTAAGTTGCCATAATCAGACCATAATACTTTCTTCGCGTCGTGAATACCTCTATTCTTTCTGAATACCACGCCTTATTAGCAGCATTACGATCAAACAAGGCACTAATTGCAGAAAAAAAATTAAACAAATATAAAACTATCGCAGACGTAAATTATGACGTAAATAGCTGCTAAAGCTAAATTTGTTGTGTAGAAGTTTTTTGTGGATTTCATTTTAGCAATTATTTAGAGGAAGAAAGAAAATAGGTACCTATGCCATCCCTACATGATATACATTCATTTGCACATTTCGTGAATTTTATGGCCAAATACCTTTAGAGAATTTGAATGAGGAGGACCTGCAGCGTCTAGCACCTCGGTTTATTTATTTTTATTTTTAATTTGAACTCAATATATATTCAGATAAAATACATATTTATAGGAAAGTAAATACAAAATTCTGGGATGTAAACACATATATACATATGTTATAATATACTTATGAATATATCGAGCCTAACCGCCAAAATAACGTAAGCGACATTTTTTTCAAAATTTTCTTTTTGATGCAGAAATGCATCTAGATGCTCTAGTAATATTTCTGCATCAAAAAGAAAATCTTGAAAAAAATATCGCTACGTTATTATGGCGGTTAGGGCTCGATATGCTAAGTAATATATGTACATATATTCAGCACACACTCACTGAACACGAGCATATCGAATGAGGGAGGCAAGTGCATTCCCATTTGCTGCGATTATTGGCACCAATGTAAGAAACGTCTGGCAGCACACCCTCCGGCGTCCCACTCTCATTGTATGTAGTTGGTGATAGTCTGTCTGTCAGTTACATGCATCAATTGGCCAAACAATAAACAACCACTGCACTATTGTAGTCTGTCTGTGATAGGAGGGCGGTATGAAAAGGGAACGATTTTCTTGGCGGCATTGGACGGGCTCCGACTGTTTGGGTTTGTGTTGGGAACTTGAACTTGATTTAAAATATACTAAACATTCGCACGGCAAATGAATGGTTGCCAACAAATCGGCGAGACAAGAAATAATGTCCACGAGTTGTGGTTACAGCCAGAGAAATAAGTTATAACGTACTGTATTTCATAACAGGTAAATAGGTGGATAGCAAGGGAATGAAATAGATGAAAAATGATGAAAAAAATATATCCCGACAAGTTAAGAAGCTTCTCAATTTTTTGAAGTCGGTTAATAAATTAAAAATTTATTTATACATTTTGATAAAAAAAGTTAAACGGTTGATGATTTCTCGAGAGTTTTGTTGGATTTCTAGGGACAGTTCAGTTTTTTCGGGCTTATCGGGAATTTGCTTCATTTTTTGAGGAACTTTAGTAATTTTCGAAGACTTTTTCGAAATTATCGGGGTCTTTCGGAATTCTTTGTGTTTTTTTGGGCATCTCGGGGGGCGTTTTGGAAACATTGCAGAATTTTTCAAGATTATTCGTGTTTTTCGGGAGCCTTTCGAGATTCTTCGAGATACTTTTCGGGAACTTTTTGAAAACCATATATTTTTTTCTTTTTTTTTGTAGGTTACCGAATATCTCGGGACCACGAGAACCTTTTTCGACAATTATTATTTTTTATCGGAAAGCTGGTCCCATACTAACTTGGTTTCGTTTCGATCGTAGGATCATGTAGAAATTTACGGTACTCCTATATTTTTATATGAGCATTGAAGTCGGTTTTCTTTTTTGCTTAAAAATTACTTGTCAAAGAAAAATATTAAGCTTCATGATTCTCATAGTTTTTTTTTTTAATCTGAAGAATCACTTCGTCCTCTAGCCCTCGGCGGCAATAGGCAATATAATTGGCGCTTGGTCATCTTAAAAAGCTCCGCTCCACCACTGGCCAGGAGAACTTTGTGAAACTTCGCTTGTCGGGGTCTTCATCCAGCGCCTATGAGCCGACCCATCTGTTTAGGAATAGACCGCAAGTTGTCAGTGCAGTGGAACTTCTATACTCTTTCTATGAACATGAATAGCCTCAAGTGTGCGCTGCCAAGAAAATTCATCAGGCTTGCAGTTATCCGAAATGTAGCTGGACCATGGCTCCCAAGTAAGTCTATTTTTCAAGATATTAGAGGTGATCGAGAGAGAGTAGACGCATTCCTTGACCGCTTTCAGTTGCAAGATAATCGACTCTAAAGCCCTGATTGCAGCTAGCTGTGAGAGTAAATATATACCTGGTATTACGCTAGTTCGTAGCCGGTCGACTGTTTGCTTTATCGTGACCACATGTGCTTAAAATACGCTGCAGAACTCTACTAGTCTTAACTTATGGACAATTGAGAGTTCCGGACAAAATACATCTCCTTAAACTCTACCGTTCAACTTCGTCCCAACCACGAAAATGTTTACTGGACTTCTGTTTCAGAGTGTCCTCTCTCCTACTCACTCCTTGGAGGTTGTGTGTACAGGTGGGTTCATTCATCGGCACGCACCTATCAGTTTTCTCTGGTATGAAGTTGGTGTTTCAAACGATCGCCCACATAACCGAATTGCCTTGATTATGGTTCCAAACAACCAGCAAATTTCACATCTCTCTAATGGAATCAGTATAGAGTAACTTGTCCACTCGCTCTCAATATTAAGCTTCCAAGTTAGCTTAACGTTAAGTAAAATATAGGACGAGGAAACGTGCTGTTTCGATGGGGTCAGTCCAACAGGAGAAGGGTGTTCACTGTGCTGGTTTAAGGGGGAAAGTGAAAAGGTTGTTGGTGTTATCTGTGATGTCTTCAATAGTATGTCGGCTCCAGTATGGAAAGGTAGTAGTCAAGTCTTTTGCTGTATCCAGACCTAAGTTGCGTCAGAGTAATGTGGGTCTTTGGAGGCAGCTGAAGCTGTTCGCCAGCGATGGGAGGTGATTGAACTCCGACGACCGTTTTCACGGGGCGAGAGTTTGTAAAAGTGGTGATTGTCTCTGAAAGTGAATGTTGTTTATAGCTTGTTGTTACAACGTTAGGTTTAGTGGCTGTACGATGTTTATCTGCATCTCGTTAGTTATGCTTCCTAAGTGTCTGCAAGGACTCTCGCTGACCATGCAACTGTACACTCTGCTGTGATTTGAGGACCTTGTTGTGGCTCTGTAATTTATTTACGGTTATTTACCGACAGTCATCAACGGAACTCCTTCCTGTGGCTAAGGAAGCTTCGAGATGTAGAAGTTAAACAGTAAGGCTAATTCTTATTTGCTTCGCTAATTCGCCATCTACCGTTTTAGTCGCTGCATCAATGCTATCTAGAATTGTGGAATGACAAACGGCGTGAAAAAAACTTTGACAAGTCCAACGGTACCAAGACCATTCACTCACAGGGGCCGTTATATTTAGTGCTACGAGCTACCTGGATATTTATGGGTTTAGTAGTGCGACTACTCCCCTAGACTGCCACATATCGGGAGTGATGAGTGTGGCCAACGAAAGATGGAGGACCTTAGTGGTGTATTATAGTCTCAACGTACCCAATTTGTTTACCTTAGTTTATCGGCATCAATGGCTTTAGAGGCGTTTTTACTTCCCGATGGCCACCTGAACTTCTGAACTTTATTGCAGTAACTTTTGCACACTTTTCACTAATTGCCAGAAGACATTTTGCAGGGAAAATAAATATTTAAAAATATGTAGTTTTACTAACATTTTTTCGTGGGCCAACTCATTGTTTAACCGCCAAAAGTTTCTTGCCTTAAATGCATCTTTTTAATTATTTTTATTCTTAGTTTGTTATTGTTATTTTTTTTAGTTCGCATGTTCTTCCTCATTTACCATTTGTGCTGCGAACATGCATGCAAAACGAAAAGGAAGAGAATGGCAATCTGTTTCCCTTTTAGTGTTCGCGGGTACTTTGCACGGCAACCATTTGTTTGAATTATTAGCCCATCTCAGTGGCTCGTGATCGCTTTTTCGTTTGCCCTTTGTGTGATAAATTACGAAACCTTCATAATTTCTTAATACGAGTATAAAGAGCCCGCGAGGTAATTAAAAATGCGTATCCTGGAATATATAATGTGATGTCTAAACTTTAAAAATTAGGCGAAGTGGCGTAAATTCAAAACTAAACCAATAAGAAAACAGCGAAAAAAATAAATAAATATAAAAATGAGTTTCATACATCCGGACATGAGTTTGGTTACAAGTCCGACCGCGTCCAACGCAACTTCTGACATTTCCGATTATAACGGCAATGCAAATGTTGATGTGACGTCACATAAACCAATGGTGGCCGCGGACAAAAAGGCGAACGAAAATGACCTGTGCTGCACTAATGACGACGATAGCGATAGGCGCAATGGCGCAAGCGCTAGCGGCAAATCTACGGATGCCATGGCCAATTTGCCGAAGCGTAAATCGGAAAAAATCGAAATTAAAATTGTGCTCGTCAAATTGCAGGTGATTTTCCAAACATAACATGTGTATCTATGTACCTACATACATATATATGTATGTACATACCTATCAGCAAATATGATTAATAATTGATTAGTATTTTAGTGTAGTTGAATTATATTCACCAAGATTGAAAAGTGCATACATACAAATATTTATAGATCTTCAGAATGTCTCCGCATAAAATTTTATTAATAGTATAATTTATGAAACCATACATATGTATATATGTTTGCTGCAGCTGCATGACTGGGCGACATGAGGTCTATGACAAAACTGTGAATTTATTTAAAGGGAATATAATAACAATTAGTTAAATAAAATTATACCTTAAAAAACCAAAACCTCGCTATTATAATTTCCATTCGTATTATCATCAGGCATGTAACTTGAGAATAGAAATCGCTGCATCTTTTAGGCGCATCAGTTTTACATAGTTACATCCCGAGCTAATAAAAGGGAGGTAATAAAAAAAAGGGAGGTAATAATAATAAAAAAGGCGTGCCTATGTCGCAAAAGTATGTATGTATGTACATCTGTATGTAAATGCAGGGTAACTGCCTGTTTAGAATATACATACATACTTATGTACATATGTATTTGCAGCGCATTTTATTGTGCACCTCATTCTATTTTTGTGTTCGCCTTTTTAACTACAAAGTAACTGCTTAAAAGTCATTTAGTTAAAAAGTGGTATTTTCTTAAAAAATTATAGATCCTTTATCTATCTGAGCCTATTGACCTGAGGCATAATAGCTCGTAGTTCTTTGTTGATTAATTATAGAAGTGCCTGCACTTCAAAATAAATGTTTAGTTCTAAGTTTCGATATGGAGGCTATGCTCAAAGTTTGTAGTTGTAATTTTTAGAGCTTCACGAAAACGCTTATTGCACGAGAACTAGTGAAGCGATTTCAAAGAGAGGTATGGCGTTTCAAAGACTCCAAACCTATCGACAGATACATTTCTGTAAGTAACCGATTTGGTTTCTGTCCAAAAACAACGGTAAATATTGGGATTCGCCACTGAAGAGAATACTGATAGTTTTTTTTCGTGCTTCGTTCTGTTTCATGAGTATTTGATAATCTTTGATTGGCACCTGATCCCTATAGTAAAAATAAAGCAGTGCAATTAACTGGGTCGTGCGTGTGCCGAGAGGATAGAAAAATAATCTTTTTATCATTAAATTCAACAATTGTATTGAGCATGAGGCCGTTTTTTTAATGAAAACTATTGTGGAATAATTAACAATAATTTATAAATGGTAGGAGTGATAGCTATTTCGGATATCACCACATCTCCTCATCAGACATCTTCAGCGGTATTCGAACCGACGACCCCAGCTGACTCGGCCAGTTGCTTACGCACTGTGCTAAGTTCGCCTAAGGGCGTGTGTGAATCGGTAACAAAGTTCTATGGGGAAAGCTGTTGAATAATATTTTTACTAGGGTGAGACAGTTTTGCCAATCTGCTGTGTGAAATGAAATATTTTTTGACAGCAGTAAATTTTTGATAACCGCAGATTTATTTGGAATAAAATATTACAAATTGAAGTGAACTGAATATTTTAAGAAAACTTCTACCATCGTTGATTGCAATTCATCTATTTAAGCTTTTATTTAACGAAAAATTACACACATCAACAATCTTTGCGATTGTCAAAATTTTCTATGCATTTGTCAAAAATTTCACTAGCCTCATGAGCTACTGAAATTTTATTCACCTCATAGATGTCAAAAATTTACTCGATGCGAACTTTGTTACCGATTCACACACGCTCTTATAAACTGTTGTTGGTTGGCCAACTACAATCAAGCGCAGCTATTCCGCTGCAATTCACACCTGATCACGTGGTTGTTAGTTTTGTTCGTTTTTCGTTATTAATTCTATTTTAAGAATGTTTAACTTTTAGGTGTGCTCGTCCTTAAGTTATTTGTTTGTTTGTTATTTTTGGCCTTATAAAACTTATATTCAACAATTTTATTGAGAATGAGGCCGTTTTTTAATGAAAGCTGTTGTGGAATAATTAACAATAATTTATAAATGGTAGAAATCATTAAGGTAAAAATACCTCTTTGGAACGAGTGCCAGTTTTAAAACGATATTATACATTTTTGTAGAAAAAAGAATTAAGTCGCCCGTGAACACACGGGAGTGCGACTTTCCTGCAACATCGTGCACTGAGGGAAAAAAATATTAAAATCAAGTAGAAACGTAATTGATCTTACTATAAACGTCAATGAAAGTACTGTATATTGGTAAATATTCAATTCAATTACGCCCATATTAAAATGACCGCGTTCGTGCTGAAATAGCATCCGTGAAGTGAATAATCAGGACAAAAACAAAAAAAAAAAAATTTNCACTGGCAAGCATCTTTGCGCACTCACCTACACCCAGACATATAAATTTGCTTTCCAATCTTGAATATCCATCAAAACCTCAGCCACGCGATTTGTACGTGTTGTCACCGCTCTCAGAGCGGCGCCCTGCATGCTTGGGGTGCGTATGTACACTCATATATATATATACTCAGATGTGAACAGTCAAATACGTGCGTAATAATTTTTGTATGAAAACATTATTTTTAAATACGAACATTTTTAAACGATAATCAAATATAAAGTATTCATTTCTACTATGCACTTACAAAATTGCGCAATTATTGACCGTATCTGCGTGCGCATAATTGCGCAATGATTGATCACTTTCGTTATTTTTCTGAAAATTGATATTTATACCCGAGCGCACTTGTGCACAAGGGTATTATAACTTTGTTCACATAACGGTTGTTTGTAACAGGCAAAACGAATCGAGATAGATATAGACAAATGTATACATAAATGATCAGAATGAAAAGAGAAATCGATTAAGCGGTGACTGTCTGTCCGTCCGTC